AGTTTCTTCACTCCCTTGACGGTGTTATCTTGATGAAGTTGGGCTTGCTCCGTTTTGCCTTTCACTTGAGTCAAGTCCTTGGTGAGGCGAGCCAATTCTTGCTTGAGTTGCTCATTCCCCATTGTGACCTCTTGTGTGCATGTTTCTACAATAACTTTCTCAACACAAACTTGGTTGCACAAGGGTGAGTCTAAACATAAATCATTACAAGAAGTAGAGACATCCTTTTTAGGCATGTCAAAAATTGAACCTTTCTTTTTAGGTGCCTCGGTGGGGGTTGTACCGACGGCTTCAGGATTTGCAACTTTATTAGTTAGCTCAGCACAATGTTTGCACATGGTTTCTATTTTAGAGAGCAAACTTTTATAATCATCTTGTGAGCTAGCTAACTTTTCCTTTAATTTTTTATTTTTCTTTACAAGTTGCTCATCATTGATTGTGCAATTATTTGTGTTTGCACTAGTCTCAAGTTGCTCAATTTTAGTAGATAGCTCCATAAGATTGGCAAAAGTTTCATATTGTTCAAGCAAAGTAGCATAAGCTTGTTGTGAGCTATCTAGTTTTTCTTTTAATTTTTCAAACTTCTTTTGTTGACTAGTGCAAACTTTAACAAAGTTAAGATTTTGTTGCACAATTTCATCATAAGAAGGTAGCTCATCATCACTATCACTATCATTGTCACTATCATAGGGATAGTCTTTTTGTTACCTCATGCCATAAGGCACACACGTGAGGTGCTTGATGATGAGTGCTTGTGCCCGCGCCTCTTGTGGTGGTCTTCTTCTTCACTTGAAGAATCGTCCCATGACCTTATTGATGTGAGGGCTTTGTCCTTGCATGCCTTCTTCTTTGTCTTGGGTGTGGTCTTGTTTGGACAAACTTCCACAAGGTGCCCCAACTCACCGCATCCATAGCATCCTTTCTTTCTTTGCTCATTTCTTTGATTGGTGAAGATGAAATCTTAAATTTGGATGGGCACACCCTTGACAGTGAGTTTTTGGATCATCTTCTCCAACTTGTTGATAAGCTTGATAGATTCTTCATCAAGGTCAGAGGTGGAGGAGGAAGATTGATCATCATCACTTGATTCATCATCATCCTCATCTTCTTCTTCATCTTCACTTGATGAGCTTGAGCTTCAGCTTGTCTCAACTTGCTTGCCCTTCATCTTCTTTTTCTCACTACATGCGAGAGCTTTGCCTTTGCTTGATGACGAGGCTTCTTCTTGACCCATCTTTTGTGACATTTCAAATGCCACTATCTTGCCAATGACTATAGCTGGGGTCATGGTGCTCAAGTCCTCCATGTTGTGAAGGATGATGATGATGCTTGCATATTTCTTTTGTGGTAGCACGGAAATGATCTTCCTCATGATGTCCACATCATCTAGCTTCGTTAATCCTATTGAATGGAGCTCATTGATAATTAGATTCAAACGACAATACATATCACGAACAAGCTCATCATCATTCATTTTAAAAGAATCATAATTTTGTTTAGCTAGACAATGTTTTTGCTCGCGGACATTAGTTGTGCCATCATGGAGCTCTTGGAGTTTTAACCAAATTTCACGTGCCGTATTTAAAGTGAACACTTGGTTAAACACATCCATACTAAAAGATTTAAACAAGCAATTTTTAGCTCTAGCATTGAAATGAATTTCTTTTTCTTCACTCTTTATGGGTTTATCGGGATTCTTAATGGGTTTCATCCCGTCACGAGTGACTCTCTAAACACCCAAATCTACCGCCTCAAGGTGACAAGCCATTCTAGCTCTATAGTGGGCGAAGTTAGTACCGTCAAAGTGCGGAGGCCTAGAGGTATCCATCCCAATCACTCTAAATAGTGTTGGCTCAATGGCGATGAAGCCAAAGGTCCAAATTGAGCCAACCTGGCTTTGATACCAATTGAAAGGGGACCGTGACGTCTAAGAGAGGTGGGTGAATTAGGCAACTTAAAACTCTAACTCTAAACTATGGCCTCTTTTTCTAACCTTAGCAAAACCTATGCAAAAAGATAAACTATCTAAATGTGCAACTACGATTTTGCTAGTGTGTTACTATCTCTACCGCAAAAAAGAGTTATGCAAACAATGTAAATACGGAAGCTAAAGAGTAAGGTAGAGATATGCAAACTCCCATCGATGACTCCGATATTTTTACTGAGGTATCGAGAAGCGCGCAAGCATCCCCCTAGTCCTCGTTGGAGCCCCTCGCAAGGAATCCCACGCAAGGGCCAAGCTCCCGGTCGAGTAACTCTGTGGATAGCCCCGGGCCTTCCCCACACACAAGTGGGTCTCCGATGTGCCTTCCGGCAAGCCTATCCTGGACCGCTCCCCACAGTCTTCACTATCAAGCTTTTAGCCGAACCACCGCGAGCCTTGTTCCCTTCGGTACACGGTGGCGGCCACCCCACAAACATGGTTGGTGTGGTCTCGCAAGACTACAAGCCCCTCTAATGTACAACAATGGTGCGCGCAAGCACCGAGTGGAAAGAGGTGTGCAAACCTCACTAAACACTAGGCCTAAACCTAGAGCAAGCGCATAAGCGGTGGTCTAATCAACCTAAGCACTTCGCAAAGCACCTACGCTAATCACCTAATGAATCACTGAGCACTATGCAAGTGGAGATCACTAAAATGGTGTATCAACACCCTTGATATGTTTCCTCACTTCTCCACACACAAATGGTCGGTTGGGGGTCTATTTATAAGCCCTATAGAGAAAGTATCCATTCGGGGCGAAACCTAGCTTTCTGCTACTGACCGGACGCTGCTGTCGTCCTTACCGGACGCATCCGGTTGTCCCGACTGTTAGAGCGCGCGCGTTGATCGGACTCTGGGCCGAGTCCGATCTCACTCGATCGGATGCGTCCGGTCACGCTGGTGCCGCTCTGGAACCTCTCTAGACTCGATCGGACGCTGTACTTTGTGCGTACGGTCGTCCTGTGCTGCTGCATCCGGTCACGCTGAAAACATTGCCGTGATGAAGAACAATGTCATTGGTGCATCCGGTCACTGCTTCGCTCAGCGTCCGGTCACAGCTGCTGACGCCTGCTGTTACCGAGCAACTGATCGGACGCGTCCGGTCCTTATAGGGACGCGTCCGATCACCTCTGCCGAACTCGTTTCTTCGCGATCTTGCGTCCGGCTTGGTTCCCATCTTCGTGCTTGGACTATGCTTGATATCTTGGGTCTTCTCTTGTGCTTCTAGGGTCTTGCTTATGGTGTTGATCGTGGGATCATCATGTCGCCTTCGTCCAAGTTACGTCTTGCACCCTATTGAACTACAAAACAATTACTTGCAAATTCATTAGTCCAATTTGGTTGTGTTAGTCATCAAACACCAAAATCCAAAGTAAATTGGCCTAGGCTCTATTTTCCTTATAGGCGGCGCCCGTCAGCAGCACCAGGCGGCTACGGCAGGCCGCTGTCCGCCAGCCACCAGTGCGCGTTTGCAACATGTGCAACACTTGATCTACTTTTGAAACATAAAGATGAAACATTTGCAACATACAACTGAAACAGATGAAACATTTGAAATATGCTCTTGAAACATGCGTGTATAGCCATAGCAACATATGCAACATCCAGATCCTCTTTTGCAACATAAGTCTCTAAAACACAAGAAAACAAACATTTGAAACATGCGCGTGCAGCCATAGCAAACATATGTAACATCTAGATGAAAACATTTGAAACATTCGTCTAAAACAATTGAAACACTTTGAACATAGGCTTGAAACATGAGTATATTGTCATTGCAACATATGAAACATCCCAGATCTACTTTGCAACATCCAGATGAAACACTTGAAACATAAGTCTGAAACGCCTTAAACACTTGAAACACGGCGTCGCCAACAAGCTTGGGTTAGGGGGACGTCGAGAGCAACGGTCGAGCATACACCCTAGGCGTGTAGGCCTCCCCTTCCTGTCGACGGGCGCCTGGATGGGGGGTGCAGGCGCAGGCCTCCCCTGCCTCTCCTTCTTCACGGGCAAGGTGGATGGGGCATGGCGTGGGGCGCAGAGCAACGCGGGATGTGGCCTGTGCGTGGCAGCGGAGAGGGAGGCAGGCAGGAGACGTGGCGGAGCGCGGTCGCGGAACGCAGTCACGGACTCGTGGCACTGCGATGATATTTTTTTTAAGAAATTGCAGTGCCTGAAGGGAGCGGATATAGGAGCAGATAAGAAAGCCTCCTGAGCATTGCGGCCCACCAACACGGCCGTCTGGATGTACGGACGTCACATGGCATTACCGATATATTTATATCCTATATATTGAACACACAACACCTACGTTGGATATGCTCCCATGGCCGCAGGCCCACGAGCAGGCTAGTGGGCTGGAAGCGTGCTCTATCATTTGCCCGTCACAATTCACAAGCGACAAACAAATTGGCCCCTATGAAATATGGCTATGCAAAAAAAGCAAATCTGATTTTTTTTACAAGGTAACAGATAAGATTGGTTTGTTATTTTATTTTCAGGAGGACAATAATGAGATGAATACGTTTTCTGCTGTTATTATTATAGCCACAAGGAGCAAGCAACAGCACTGTCTTCGCATTAGGTTGGGCTCACTTGGCAGACAGCACGTTGATCCAATCCAGCCCAAATATATGGGCGGATCTATATTCAAAGATGTGGGTGCGGCCGCACCCACGGAAAATTGAAATGACAGTAGAAAGAGCTAAATTTTCACCATGTTTGCACCCTCATGTTATAGATCATTGCACCCATAAGGCAAGATGCACCCCCTGACATTTGGTCTAGCTCCGCCTACACGTACGTGTGTTCTGCTTCCTGAACCTCTGCATCTTGCCTTGAATTGCTTCTTCAGCATGTTCTGGGGCTACATCACCATCAGCTGGGCTAACAGAACTGGTGCCAAACACCGCCTGTCAGGTGTGGTGTTCAGTTAGGATAACTTCCCTCATCGGAGCGTAGGTGTTCCTCCCTAGGAATCCCAAATCTGAACCCTGTTCATCCAGTGCTTTGTTCAGTTGCCATAGCATGTAATGCCTTCTGCTGATTTCCTAGAGCTCAACGGGTTACTGTCACTCTGTCTGGTGCTACCGCCTGTTGCTTCCGTCTGGAAATTCCAGCACTCCAGTTCATTGTTACGGTTTGCGATTTTTCTATTTTCCATCTGCACTGAGACCCCAAACTCACCCAATCTTTCGGGTGCTAAATTCAGCCATCCAATGAGTTCAGAAAATTTCTATTGTGTGTGCTTCTTTGTCTCATTCGTTGTACTTTGTTTCCACACTTCCCTTGAATCTCTGACTATGTGATCTTAGCGATAGCCAAAAGAAAAACTCGGGCAAATACAGGATATAAAAGCCACATGGAAGTTGAAAAACAATAGTAATTTGTCAAGCATGGTCAATAAGACATGTTCATTAGAATGACTCCACATTGTTCATTTGATATGCTTTTATCTATGATCCTTGAATGGGTTCCACGATAAACAATTATGTTATCCATATATCCATACAAATGATACAAGATTATACATAATTCGGAGTAAAATCATAACACGAACAGTGAGCTCACAGGTATGTCACATTATAATGTCTTTTGTTCACATTTCACAGCTAAAGCGACACATAAAACTGACTGGGGGGGCTACTAATTGCTAACCAAAACAAATGCCATTACTCAAGCAACATATTGTTCATAATTACATAAATTAGTCATTGATACAATTATTGTGCCCATGATTGCATCTAGAGTGTATCACCACGGGTGAACTCACTCTGTGCCACAGTTTTACCTTGCATAGCATACACTAGTCCACCATTCAGTGAGCATGCTTTCCATCGAGCTTGTCAACAATTTCAACTATAGAAGGTCTCTTCTTCTGATCGATATCCACACATTTTAGCCCAGTTTCAATGCATGTTTTTACTTGCTGGAGGCTGTCTGCATCTAGTGATGAGTACTTGGATGCTATGAGCTCATCTGTCCATGTTTGACGAACCTGCAGGATTAAAATTATGAGCCTAAGTGATATTATACAAACAAAACTAAAATAAGCATCTAAAAATATATTTCGGTCTTCAAATGCACTAGTAATATATATGTGGCCCTTGCCTGATCTACAAAGTCCCTTCCAGACATGTCTTTGTCATGCGAAGAGTTCTTCTGTCCAGTTGTGATCTCCATGATTAGTACGCCTAAGCTGTATATGTCAGACCGGGTTGAGATTTCTCCTCTGTACAGATATTCTGGAGCCATATACCCTCTGAAAAGCATGAACATCAATGTTGTTACAAAGATCATGGGAGACACAAACGCAAAGCAATAAGGAAACAAAACAATGGTCTGACAGAATTGTTACTGGACTTACTTTGCTCCCACAACATTTATTGTGTTTATTCGGGTTTGTTCTTCACCAAAGAGTCTTGACAGGCCGAAATCCGCAATTTTTGGCACCATGTTATCATCCAACAATATGTTGGCAGGCTGAAGGTCCAGATGAACAATAGGCCTATCCGTTCCCTTATGTAGGAAATATAAACCCTGGCAGATGCCCTTGATTATTTTGAAGCATGTGGCCCAAGGAGGCCTAGAAGACATATCTGAAGAATGAGAACATGGGTCAGGTAACATACAGAGGAGCGAATGTCTTTCCTATATTAATGACAAAACAGGTCTGTTGGATAGTGCATCCTCATACCAAAAATCCACTTGTCGAGGTTTCCATTGGGCGCGTATTCGTAGCAGAGCATGCTCTCAACCACATCCACAAGAATGTATCTTCCATTGTGCTCTATCACTTTCTTCTGCGCTTCATGGCAGTAGCCATACAACCTCACTATATTCTCATGCTGGATGGCCATAAGGTTCCCAACCTCATTCTTGAACTGTTTTTCAGTTGCCACTGGGGAATTATCTGAGAGCTTCTTCACAGCAATGGCTTGCCCATCTTGCAGGAATCCCTGTCAGTTTGACCTCTCATACTCTAAATCGTTGTGCTTTTATTGAACTTTGTTTTTTTTTTTAAAAAAAAAAAAAGGAGAGCGTTTGAGCCTAGCCATACCTTGTAAACAATTCCAAATGCACCTTGACCCAGTTTTCGGCCAGCAGAGAACCCATCCGTAATTTCTTTCAGAAAATCCGCTGGTAGTTGCTTCGGTAAAGTACTCAGAAGACTAGGCTTGCCATCTCCGCTGGCGCCAGTGGCCATTTCTGACGATTCAAGTAGCTGTACCTGTACAGGAGAGCTCTTCAGGAATTATTACCATGAGGAGATTGCTCAACAAATTATCGCAATACAAGTCAGATTTTGCGCGAACTTGAAAGTTCTGAAATCAATCGAAAATAAGCACCAACCTGGAGAACACTGGAGGGATCCAAGCTGGGGAGAGACTGAAGAAGTGAAGAACCACAGGGGCTGTCGAGCTGAGAATCTTGAGATTGCTGGTGCTGGCGGGACGCGGGATGAAGCTTGAGCTGCTGGGCTTTGAAGACTATATATAAACCAACCCGACGGGATCTGGATCGAGGCGAGGAAAGTGAGCTGACTTGACTCTTGACGAAGACGCGGAACAGAAAGATGGGTGCTTTTTCACCTGAGGGCCCGTTTAGTTCACCCCAGAGTTGGCGCCGGCAGAATTCGGTTGACACTGTAGCGCACGGTAGCGTTTTGTTTTTATTTGGTAATAATTGTCCAATCGTTGATTAATTAGGCTTAAAACGTTCGTCTCGTAAAGTACAACTAAACTGTGCAATTAGTTTTTGATTTCGTCAACATTTAGTACTTCATACATGTACCACAAATTTGATGTGACGAGAAATCTTCTTTTTACATAATGCCAAAGTTGAGAGTTTTGGTGAACTAAACAAGGGCTCAGGTGAGCACCTTGTTGCTGCGAAGCTCCAAGCAGGGGATTCAGAACAGAAATTTTCAGGAGATGTCCGAACCGAACACAGGAGATGCGAGCAAAGTCAGTCAACGGGCGCGTTGTGTTGTGCAAGGGTCACTGTCAGCCTGTCTACGCCGTGTTCAGAAGAAAGGAGATGGCTTTGCTTATTTCTCATGAATATTGTACTGCTATTTTTTTCGGTAACTACAGTCTACAGTATAGGGTAATTTGCGCCTTGTCATAGCATCTTCAGCTGTCTCCATTTCCTAACCCCAAAAAAAAAACTGTTATTTTGGAGGTCATGTAACTCCAACAGTTCCTCAACCTCAACCCCAATGAGAATAATTTTCTCGGTCCCTCCTCATATCCTCTCACCCCTCAAATAAAGGGGAGACCTCTCCTCCCCTAATCCACTATTTTTCTCATTGGAGATTGGATTTTCTCGTTCTGCTGGAGAGAAGACCTTCAAAACCCCAAAACATGTTTTGTATCTCCCACAATAACTAGCTTTTGGGTTGGAGTTTTCTCCTACTCCTAGAGATGCTCTCGTACAGGTCCATGTACTTTTTTCCGCAAATCATGGCCTTTTTTATTTTGCGAATTGTTGTGGACATGCTACATAAGAAATGGCTTACGATAAATCGTTTGGGGACTAAATGTAGAGGGTAAGCACCTTGCCCAAGAGGGATTTATCGATATTAGTCCTATGTACCCTATATGATCATTGTATTCCTCCTACATTGTATCATGAGTTCAATGAGTTTAAGTTTTGATCTAGGGCACAAGATATCGCTTTTGCACTAAGTGCTCCTAGGGAGATCGATCTTTATCGAAGACGGCGTCCTTGTTTAGGTGGTAGATCCTATTGATTTGCTTCCCTTCTCGTCGTTCTAGCATGGGTCGTGGTAGCAGATCACCTACTTCCTCATGTCGTTGACCTCCTCCATCCAGATCTACGCTGTCGGGTTGCGCATCGTCCTCGTGTTGCCGTGGTGGTAGGCATGCCTCGCCACGAACTATCCCCTGCGCTTTCATGGTGGCGTTGGGCCACGTTGCATCCAGACCATGTGCACCGATGCCCTCCTCAACCACCATCAACCCACGCCGACCTTCATCGTGTCCGCTAGGCGTCCTGTGGCGGACGGGTCTGGTCTCGACCCACCTATGCTCTGTGCTAGGATCTCCTTGCATACCCGTGCCTTCTCCACCATTTGAGATGAGTAGGGAGCCCAACGCTGGGCTTCGCTTTCATCATTGTAGGACATCTGGCCGGGGCACCCTCTGCCGCCACCGATTTTGATTATTGCTGCTTATATCTTTTGGTTTGTCCAATCACTGATTGGGGTTGAACACCTACCGTTTATTGACCTCATGCGCGCTACTCCAACATCTACATTGACTACACCAACTTCTACTTTGACGGTACGGTTAGGTCAGTCACACTTGCTAAGGGGACTCCACATGTCGTTTCCTAGTTGCCTATTCACGCGTCTTCATCGCTAGGTCATCATCACTAGCATAGATAGGGACACCTCTGCTGGCTTCTTCTATCGTCATCCCACCTCGCGTGTACTTGGTTTGATCAGCTGATTGTGCATTAGCTTGTCGGCTTATTTTCCAATTTCATCGTCTGTGGCGCTCCCATTGTGACTATGAGGGGATGTTAGAGTAAGTAGGAATAATTTCACATCGCCTACCATTGCGGGGTTTTCTACTCTTATGTATCCTATATAATCAGCCCATTGATTCTATTCCTCCTACAGTCAGGGCTGGTTCAATTGGTTGTTTTAGAGTCGGCATGACCACATAGAACCTTTGGAACCCATAGACAGGAAGACATAATAAAAACAATTGTGGGGAAAGAGCTACCTTTGGTCCCCGCAAATACAAAGAGAGAATGGAAATTAGGGTCCACGTATCTAGAAAATACGTACGGTTGGGAAAGAGCTACCTTTGGTCCCCGTAGATACTGAAAGTGTAATCAAGCCTTAATTGTGGGTTTTTGTGATAATGACCTCACAATTAGAGAACTAATGAGATTTATCGAGATGACAAGCAGGGAATTTATATTCGAGGATGCTACACGAAATGGAGGAGCCCCCAACTACAAATATAGATGGCTTCAAACTCAAAGGAGGTTTAAATTCTTTTATATATTGAATTTGAGTATAGGAAAAGCCATACTATAAGGGGGCACAATGCTTAAGCTAATCTGTGCTACCAAGTGCTCAAACAACCACATACATCCTCAAATTCACATCCAAGACAGTCTACACTTCACTATTATCCTTACGGTCTTACGGGGTGCGAGCTCCGACTCGCACGACCCCTTGGGTGCGGGCTCCGGTTCGCCTGACCCCTTGGGTGCAAGCTCCGACTCGCCCGACCCCTTGGGTGCAGGCTCTGGTTCGCCCGACCCTTTGGTCACGGGCTTTGTCTCACCCGACCCCAAGGTCATGGGCTCCGTCTCGCCCGACCCCAAAGTCGCGGACTCCGTCTCGCTCGACCCTTTGGTCGTGAGCTCTGGATCGCCCGACCCTTTGGTCGCGGGCTTTGTCTCGCTCGACGCTTTGGTCACGGGCTCCGGCTCGACCGACCCTTTGGTGGCGGCCTCGTCTCGCCTGACCTCAAGGCCGTAGACCTCGTCTCGCCCGACCTCTTGGGTGAAGTGACCGTTGGGGCCTGAGGGGTATATATACCTTTCCCTTTCTTTCCCAATGGTAATGAACCAACCTGCTCCCTTCTTTCTCACTTCAACACACTCAAAATAGAGCAGGAGCTCTCTCTCTCTTTCACTCCATTGTTGACCTCAAACCCCCAAGCAAATCCATTGATTTCCCTATCAATCCTTGAGGGATAAGGGTCCAAAACTTGATTAGAGAGCATCTCCATTGATTCCAAACTCTAAAGAGCACTTGGTTCACGTTTTGGCCGGCGGTTGTGTTTGTTACTCTTGGAGATTGGCTCCTAGCCGGCTAGAGCATCGCCCGGTGAGCTTGTCAACTTGTGTGGTAGCCTCGGGAGGTTTGTAACCACCTCTTGCAGCAAGTAAAATCACCCCTCATCTCAAGAGTTCACTCTCTTGACTTTAGAATGAGGTAGGGTTGCAAATCCCTAAGCCTTAGTGGTATACCTCAACAACGTGGACTTAGGCAAGCCTTAGTGGCGAGCTGAACCACAGGATAAATCCTTGTGTCATCCTATGCTTGTGTTGCTACACTTGTGTTCTTGTTGTTGTTGAGGTGATCTCTGGGATTGAGGCCGATCTACTTGTGCATGGTGTTTCCACAACTTTTAGTTATCGATCTGTGATCTACCACCCTGCAAGAAGCTAAGAAATTTACCCGATCTAAATTTTGTTGGGTAGATTTTGAACTTTGAACTAATCTCTCATGTAGGTACGACAGTACTGTGCTCAAACAGCGGCAGTGCCGCTGGTGAATTTGACTTCGGCTTGAGTTGAATTGTTACAGGCCTATTCACCCCCCCTCTAGGCGTACTAGAGATCCTTCAAGTGGTATCAGAGCAAGGTTACCTCATGTGCGCTTCACCGCGTGAGGTATGGAGCCCGGGGGAGGATCCGGTGTCTAAAGCCCATCAACGTCGATCCAGAGGACGTTGGGCTGCATGACACCGACAGCAGTGAGCTTAGCGCCTCTACAACGAGCAACTCCACGCTCCCACAACTGGAGGCTACCGATGCCAAAAAAGCTCAAAATGAAGAAGAAAGAAGAAGAAAAAGAATAGCTAGAAAAGAGAAAAGATAAGCAAGAGAGAAAAAGAAGGAGCAGCAGCGGTTAGAAGAGAAGAAAGCAAGAAAAGAAGAAAGAAGAATCAAGAGAGAAGCTAGAAGAAAAAGAAGAGAAGCAAGAAAGAAGAAGGAACAAGAAGCAAAAGCCTCCAATGCATCTTCAAGTGAGTTATCTAGCAGCTCCGAAGATGGTGATGATGATGAGTCCTACCGAGTGCATAGCAAGAAGAACAAGAAAGGAAAGGGCAAGAAGAATGACGACAACAAATATGCCGCCATATCCTTTAACTATTCTTCTATGTCCATGACTAACCATGATCGCAAGTCTTTCATCAATGTGCCTGCGGGCAAGTTACCTCATTTCGATAGGACTAACTTTGCCAAGTGAAAGCACTTGATGAGAGCCTATCTTATAGGTCTTCATCCCAACATTTGGGAGGTTATTTGCAATGGATTTGAGCCACCGGTTGATTCCAAGAATCCAACACTAGAAGAGATGAGAATCATTCACCTAAATGGTCAAGCCACAAGTGTGTTGCTTAGTGCCTTGGATGGTGATGAGTACAATAG